TGTCGCTACTCTCTTATTGGTCGAACTTCTAATGGCCATGTTACAATGGGTTGAGCTGATAATTGTGATGGACTGTCAGCGTCGGTCTAAGTCTTAATACCATCACAAAATTACCAGAGAAGTGAGTAGATGGGTCCTAGATCCTATGACTATATCCTTAAAACTTAATCATTAATTGACAAAGTCATTGCCTCAATGCAAAGGAAAACAATTGTTGCATTATGCAAACCGATGCATAGTTTTCTTTAATAGGTGTCAAATTCAGTGGTTGTTGATGTGTACTTCATCTGCTGATTGTGTTAGAAAACTAACAAGTTTTTTAATGAGAAAAAACACTTTTACCATTAGTACTCTTGACTCTAATATGGATTTTCTGGAAACACCTACAAGATGCGTAAGACCAGATTATAAGGTTTGATTTACTCACATGTTTCAGTGAGTGTTGTCTAGCTCTCCCTTAACACGAAACCTCTACCTTAATTCTGTCCCATCTGAGGCCGAGAGACGTCCCTAACCAAAGCTAGGTACTCATGTTCACCTTAGTAGAATATGAAAGGGCACAGCATTTAAGGTCCGGCAGGGGTTGAAACTCAGAACTTTAGATTATGAATCAACAACTCTAATCACAAGGCCGCCTTGCCACCAATTTCTCATTATGCCATACACGGCAAATCTGCTTTTGCACCGACATATAAAAATAGGTGTATTTGTGATAGCAGTTCAATGTTTGGACATTGGAAAGAGATTGTGATAGTGGTTCAAAATTCAGATATTGGAAATAGGTATAATGTGTGATAGTAGTTCGATGTACAACCATTGGAAAGAGGTACATTTTGTGATACATGTAATAGTTCAATGTACAGAGATTGGAAAGAGATGTATTTCGTGACAGTGATTCAACGTACTAAAATTGGAAAGAGTTATATTTTATGATAGTAGTTCAACGTTCAAAAATTGGAAAAAGGTGTATTTTGTGATAGTAGTTCAACGTTCAAAAATTGGAAAGAGGAATATTTTT